TCACAAAGCTAACAGAGGGAAAATTCTTAGGAATCCACCTCGATAATAGACTCAAATTTCATACACATATACAACAAATTTCTAAGAAAATTTCCAAGACTGTAGGCATACTAATCGAAGATTAGGTTTCTATGTGCCCACAGTCAGCCCTCCTGGCCCTTTATCACTCTCTTATTTAACCCCTATCTCACCTATGGAATTTGTGCATGGGGCTCAAAAAACAACTAACCATCTCAGACCACTAATTACCCAACAAAAGGGTGCAGTTAGAATGATAACAAATTCTCACTACAGGCAGCACACTCCACCAATATTTAAAACACTCAACCCACTCACCATACAAAACATCCATACTTATTATTGCACTTATTTCATACATAGAACACTTAACTCTGATATTAACCCTCCCCTCAAAAATCTCCTTGCCAACCTCAACAGAACACATGACCATAATACAAGGCACAGATCACTCTTTGATGTTCCTCGTGTCCATCTCACGCTATGCAAAAACTCAATGCACATAAAAGGCCCTAAAATCTGGAATTCATTACCTGTAAATATAAAAGAAACACTACCTGTTTATAAATTCAAGTCTCTTCTCAAAGTTCACTTACTCACTCAAAACCAAATTAAATACTGAATAACTGAACCATATAAATTGTATATCCTAAATGTTACTCACAATTATACACACAAATGTTAAACTAACTTTGTTTATTTTTTTTAAATACACTACCTAACAGAATACTCCATTCTACTGAATGAACAGCAATGCATGCAACCATAGGACCTGTCTTTGTAATACTCATTTGTATTTTATAGTTATCTGTTTACAATAATGTCTTATCACTGATTTCATCAATGCTTAGTTAATCTTAAGTTAATTTTAAGCCAGCCCGTAATGCTATGCATATAAGTGGCTTTGGCATGCTGCTCTTACCTGTATTTTTTGTACCTCTTGTTTGTATGCTAAAATTTCTAAATAAATAAATAAATAAAAGTAACTGCCTTTATTACACAGCATCACAAGCCAGCACTATCCTAAACAATGCTAAAAGCCTATCAGTACTTAACTACAACATCAGGTCCTTAAGCAAACACTATGATGACCTCCTGGCACTCCTTGAATCACTAAAGACACCCTTCTCCTGCATTATTCTTACGGAGACCTGGCTTAAGCAGGACACAATAGATATCTACCCTCTACCAGGATACACAGCAATTCACAACTGCAGACCAAACCAAGTTGGGGGTGGTATTGCAATCTATTACTCTAACCAATTATCTTGTATTAGCACCACTTGCTTTAGTGATGAATATGGGGAATACATTTTTGCTAATTTTATTGTAAAAAACCTTAAGACACCTATAACAATCGGTGCCATTTACCGGATACCTCACACAAACATCCCAAATTTCAGTGAGAAATTAAAGTACACTAATAACAAACAGACAAATGAATAAGCACCGCCTTCTCTTAACTGGAGACTTCAACATCAACCTTGGCTTACTAGATGATCAGCCTGTAACTGATTTCATCAACAATATGAACAACACACTTCTCATACCAACAATAACTAAACCAACCAGGCTCACTGAGACAGGCGCAACCATAATAGACCACATATGGACCAATATACTAGCCCCCCTTAAATCAGGGATAATCACAGATAGCACTACAGACCACTACCCTACCTTCCTCCTGACAAACATTAATAAACCACCACTTGAATACAACAAAGTCTCATTTAGACTCCATGACGAGGCCTCAATAAGGAAGTTCACAACTGACCTAGAGATTGTTGACTGGCCTACAGAATTCTCCAAGGCCAATGGTATTGATGACTGGACAGACATTTTTCTTAACAAATTACTTAGACTATACAACAAACATAGTCCTATAAAAACGAAACAGATCACAAACAAACGGCTTGGTTGCCCAGGGCTAACCAGCACCATTCTGAAATCCATTGACAAGAAACACCAATATGAAAAGCAATATAGACAGGGCTTAATACACAAAGATATTCTTTAAACACTATTCATCAGTTCTCACCAAAGTAATAAAGAAAGCCAAACAACTATACTACTCCAGTAGATTCACAGACACTAGAGGAGATATAAAAAAGACCTGGAAAACACTCTCTCAGATTCTAGGACTAAAACTGAAAAAAAACAAGAAAATTGTCCAACAAAACCCAATGAAACCCACACTAGCAAATGACACAGCAAAAAGTAAACGACTTTTTTCACCATAGGACAATCTCCCCAAAAAAACCCAATTTTTTAAATGCCCCCTGCTGGCGACTCCGATGGGAATTTCCCAAATTCCCTTTTATCTTGACCCAAAGGCCCTGAATCACCGGATTATAAAGTCACTTTAAAAAAAACTCAGGGAATCTGCTAAAAGTCCCACCATTTTGTACAAACGAGCGGGCCCTATCCTTTGCATGCTATTTCATTACTTTTTAAAAATCACTAGAAACTAGCACCTTCCCGAAAAATACTCAAAATGGCAAGGGTTACACCAATACATAAAGGTGGTGACCCTACAGACTTAAACAACTATAGGCCATATTCAAACTTACCATTGCTATTCCAAAATCTTTGAGAAACTCGTGGCACCAGACTATTTTCATTTATAACAGCACAAAAACATACCAACCCCTGCCAATTTGGATTTAGGAATAATAAAAGCACTAATGATGCAAATCATAAAATGCTAGATCTGCTTTACACAGCATTTGAAAATAATGAATATCCACTAGGAATTTTTATTGCCCTAAGAAAAAGCTTTTGACACAGTAGACCACGACATCCTACTCCACAAAACTTGACCATTACGTATAAAGACCATGCGCTTGCTTACTTCAAATCTGACCTTACTAATAGGTATCAGTATGTTACCATTAAAGACACAGCATCAACAACACGGGCCCCACTTGATAACTGGAGTTTCCGCAGGGAAGTGTCCTTGGTCCCCTGCTCTTCCTCATATACATCAAGGAATCTTCCAAACTAATCCACAACACCTGAAACCCATTCTCTTTGCTGACACACGACTTATGTCATCTCTCACCCTAATCTTGCTACCCTCAACACCATTGTTAACGAGGAGCTGATCAAAATATCGACTTGGATGACAGCCAATAAACTACGCTTTAACACAGACAAAACTACTATGTTATGGTTTGGTAGCAGACAGGAGTATGCACAAATTTAACATTAAGATCGACAACACTCTCATTTACCAGACATAAAAGAGGGCAAATTCCTAAGGCCTATACATTGACAACAACCGAATTCAGCACCCATATCCAACACAAAACCAAAAAAGTATCCAAAACAGTTGGGATCCTCTCCAAGATACGATACTACATGCCGCAAAATGCCCGGGATCCTCTCCAAGATACGATACTACATGCCGCAAATGCCCTTCTCACATAAACCCTTCTCTTATTTATCCATACTCACCTAATGCTATTGTGCTTGGGGTTCAACTGCAAGCAACACACCAAAAGCCAATAATAACCCAACAAAAAGCTGCGTAAGAATAATCACTAAATCCCCACCCTGAGCTCAACAACCCCCCACCACTCTTCATAGATCTAACCTTACTCCTGTTCATACATCCACACTTACTACTGTGGCAATCTACATCTACAGACCTTAAACTCCAATACTACTTTGAACTAAAACACTTTCTTGATAGTTGAGACAGAACCCACAGGCATAACACCAGACCAAACATCTCCTACACATTCCCCATGTCCGACTAAACTGTTTAACAAAAATTAATGTAAGTCCAAAGCCTCTAAAATCTGGAACACCCTAACCTGAGAACTCTATGAACTGCAGACACATTCATCACCTTCAAAACTACCATTAGAAACATCTTATTTTCCCTGATAACCCCATCAACTAACTACACGAATACCACCTGTTGGTTCACTCTACAACTCACTCACCCATTTGACCATAACAGAATATTAACAACTCAAAACTTTAAAATAATGAATCCTATGAATACTCCAATACCTGAAACAATGTACTGTGCCAACACAAAAGCATTCACATTGCTAAACTCACAAACTAGTATTTAGTCCCTTAGAGCCCTAATACCAACTTATCTCAAAATTTGTAATATTTTTAAAAATAAAGAATTAAATCTAATCTGCCCGAAATGCCTAGCCATGCTAGGCGTTCTAGTGGTACACTCTGTAATCATTATTTAACTACATGTAAACCACACAACAACCAAATTCTGTAAATTCAACATTGTAATCTTTATAGAGAATAAACTTTGAATTGAATTGAATATAATTATTATTATTATTATTAGTAGTAGTAGTAGTAGTAGTAGTAGTAATATTATTATTATTAGTAGTAGTAATATTATTATTAGTAGTAGTAGTAGTAGTATTATTATTAGTAGTATAATTATTAACCCTTAAACGGTCCAAACAGATCGACGTTCAAATTCTTTGTGCTACAAAAGTAGATCTACCCTTTTTTACATATTTTCAAATATAACAAAAAAAAATATAGATAAAAGTTTTTTTTACACATTTTCACATGTAAAAAAAAAAAAAGATCTACATTTTTTTACATACTTTCAGATGTTGAAAAAACGTATATATACGCTTGGACCATTTAAGGGTTAAGTGGTAGTAGTAGTAGTAGTATTAATATCAGGATAGTAAAACAATAAAGTACTTGTAAATAGTACAGTAGTACACTAGTATGTTACCATTGCTGGCCCAGATTATTCAAGAGCCTGTACCAGTTCAACCATGTTTATGGTGGCCAATGGTGGATGTGTGTGCCCAAGAAGCAATAACCTGGCTGACAGGTAGTAATCAAGGAAGCCTAACCCCAAGCTGGAATGCAAAAAGAAGAAAAACAATTGAGACAAGTCACAGGTTCACCTGTGACTGGTCTTAACGTTCCACACCATAGATGACTGACCAAGCCAAACTGACAAATTAATATCTTTTGTTTATAGTGGTCATATTTTTTTTTTAACACTTCCAGCCATTTCCCACCTAGGCAGTGTGATTTGAAAAAGTAGTGTTCAAATGTGTCAGATCTAAATCATTTAGTTGTTCTTGAAATAAACATTTTTCTTTTCAAGCTACTCCATGATGTTTTAAAATTACTGAGTTGTTTTCTCCTTCAAAAGGTCATAGACAAGTTTAGCAGACACTGCATCCTGAACAGCCAAACCTAAAATTGAAAAATATTTGAAGTTATTAAAAAATCATAAATTAGCCTATACATTAATCTATAGTAAGACAGTAGTACAGGTCAGCCATCACTAATCCAGCATCACTGGGACCTGTAGGGTGCCAGAATTAGTGACTTTGCCGGATTACAGAGTGGTTAGGTTAGAATACACTTAACCTAACAACAATATTTACACCAGCGATTTCACCCAATTTACACTCTATTTTTGGCCCATTCCATTGCTCCAGTCTACCAAACTCATAGCTATTTTGCTAGTATTCCTTCTATTCTGTCAACTGAGTACAAGAAACTGCCCATTCACCTATTTCAATTACCCAGGAAAGTGGTCAGAAATTGGCAATTTGGCCAATTTCACACAAATTTCAAATTAGGGTCCAGAATAAACAATACAGACATTCCTGGCACTGAAATAATATTTTCTCTGTTCATTAGTCTCCAGGCATCTCTTATGTTACTCTTGCTTTCCATATTGAATTTTTATTTACACACAAAATAGAAAATTTACTATTATGCAGACTACTGCATTATTATAATAATTGTATAAATAATGTCAACCCATTCGTGACTGTGTATTAGATTGGCCAGTTGGACTCGTACTGGATGGTGATGTCATTTGTTTACTCTTGAACATCGGCTAAAATCCTATCTTCATTCTTAAAAAAAAATAAAGTTAGTATGGTTCTGACATTTAGCAAAATATCTGCCTTTTTACCCTGGCATAAATCAAAAACAAACCATACCACGGGTGGGGTTTGAATCCATGATCAGAGAGTGGCTAACATGTGACGGTCTGGAGTTTTGAGACACTGATCGTGGGTTCAAACCCCACCCATGGTGTGGTTTGTTTACAATTGTGTCATTATGATTTTGTGAATCAAAAACAAATTGTGATATTTCAAAAATAACTTCACCAGTTTGTAAAACAATCATTCTGTAATTTTTGTGAAATTTATTGCATTCCTATCATTATTACCCTTTGACTGTTTATGCCGTATATATACGTCTTACACACCACTGTTTCTGAAGTATTTATACGCATAAATTCTAGCGGCTTCAAATCAAGCAGGAGAAAGCTGGTAGGCCCACATGTGAGAGAATGGGCCTCCATGGTCAGTGTGCACAATATAAAAAAAATCGGGGAGCCAGTGGTGCATTGTGGGAATGCCATTTCAGTTGTCCTTTTTCAGCATGCTTAGCGGTAAGAAATATGTGACTCCCCAGCAAATCTGGGACTCTTCTCTTCCCAAGTGATGCTCTAACACAGAAGGAAGTGTCAGTGAAGATCAATTTCATGATTTTGAGGAGTTTGAGACCAAAAGCAATGGAGGAGGAAGAGGAGGAGGAGGAGGAGGAAGAGGAGGAAGGAGGAGGAGGAGGAGAAGAGGAGGAGGAAGAGGAAGAGGAGGAGAAGAAGAGGAAGAGGAAAAGGAGGAGGAGAAGAGGAGGAAGAGGTAGAGGAGGAGAAGAGCAGGAGGAGGAGGAAGAGGAAGAGGAGGAGGAGGAGGAGGAGGAAGAAGAAGAGGAAGAAGAAGCAGAAGAAGAAGATGTAATAATATTGTTCCCTTGAAGCAAGAAAAAAAAAAAGTCCACCCCATGACAGTGACAAGATAAGGTAAGATAACATCTGATAAGAGCTGACGTTTGATGAGCATAAACAAGGGTGCAGCTGATAAGAAAAGATTAGATGACCATCGCCCTCCCTTTGTTTTTGCTGGTACACAAACATTTCTGTGTCTATTTGTCTGTCTGCCAAGCTCCCTGTCTGTCCGTCTAGCTCTCTGTCTCAGAGAGAGCCACAAGACTGTGTCATCATCAGGTTTACTCACATCTTCAAAGTGAGTTTGGCACTTTGTCTGGATTTTTTGGGTTATCCTAGGTTATTTACAATATGTATACTGTACTTGTATTTATGTGTAGGAGGAGGAGGAGGAAGGAGGAGAAAGGAGGAGGAGGAAGGAAGAGAAAGGAGGAGGAGGAAGGAGGAGGAGGAAGGAGGAGAAAGAAGGAGGAGGAAGGAGGAGAAAGAAGGAGGAAGGAGAAAGAAGAAGAAGAAGAAAGGAGGAGGAGGAGGAGACGGAGGAGGAGACGGAGACGGAGACGACGAAGAAGACGACGAAGAAGACGACGAAGAAGACGACGAAGAAGACGACGAAGAAGACGAAGAAGACGACGAAGAAGACGACGACGAAGACGACGACGAAGACGACGACGAAGACGACGACGAAGACGACGACGAAGAAGACGACAAAGAAGACGACGAAGAAGACGACGAAGAAGACGACGAAGAAGACGACGAAGACGACGACGAAGATGACGACGAAGACGACGACGAAGATGACGACGAAGACGACGACGAAGATGACGAAGAAGATGACGAAGACGACGAAGAAGACGACGACGACGATCCCTTGAAGCATCGAAAACAGTTCACCCCATGATAGTGACACGATAAGGTGAGATAACATCTGATAAGAGCTGACGTTTGATGAGCGTAAAGGAGGGTGAAGGGAGGGTGCAGCTGATAAGAAAAGATTAGATGACCATCCCCCTCCCTCTGTTTTTGCTGGTACACAAACATTTCTGTCTGTCTATTTGTCTGTCAAGCTCCCTGTCTATCTGTCTAGCTCTCTGTCTCAGAGAGAGCCACAAGACTGTGTCATCACGTTTACTCACATCTTCAAGCACAGTATAGCACTTTGTCTGGATTTCTTGGGTTATCCTAGGTAATTTACACTATGTATACTTGTATTTATGTGTACCTGTGAGACAGAGATAGACAGATAGAAAGAGAGACAGATTGAAAGAGATAGAATGAGAAAGATAATTGGATAGAATGGAGAGGAAGCAGCATCCGACCCCATTGTTTTGACAGGCTGGAGGGGGAGTGAGTAATGAGATAATATGTCATTTTGACAGCTGCCGACTCCTGACTCAAAACAATTATAAGCCACACACTCCCACACAAGACAAGCTTGCTGAATGGAGATAATAGCAGTTATATGAAAGTATCTAGTGACTATATATATGTATATATATATTATAGAAACCAGAAGCAAGAAGGGAAGGCAGGAATGAAGGAAGGACAGATGAAGGAATGTAGGAAAGGAATGAAGGAATGCAGGAAAGGAATGAAGGAAAGGAATGCAGGAAAGGAATGAAGGAAAGGAATGCAGGAAAGGAATGAAGGAAAGGAATAAAGGAAAGGAATAAAGGAAAGGAATAAAGGAAAGGAATGAAGGAAAGGAATGCATGAAAGGAATGAAGGAAAGGAATGAAGGAAAGGAATGCAGGAAAGGAATGAAGGAAAGGAATGAAGGAAAGGAATGAAGGAAAGGAATGCAGGAAAGGAATGCAGGAAAGGAATGAAGGAAAGGAATGCAGGAAAGGAATGCAGGAAAGGAATGAAGGAAAGGAATGCATGAAAGGAATGAAGGAAAGGAATGCATGAAAGGAATGAAGGAAAGGAATGAAGGAAAGGAATGCAGGAAAGGAATGAAGGAAAGGAATGAAGGAAAGGAATGCAGGAAAGGAATGAAGGAAAGGAATGCAGGAAAGGAATGCAGGAAAGGAATGCAGGAAAGGAATGAAGGAAAGGAATGCATGAAAGGAATGAAGGAAAGGAATGAAGGAAAGGAATGAAGGAAAGGAATGCAGGAAAGGAATGAAGGAAAGGAATGCAGGAAAGGAATGAAGGAAAGGAATGCATGAAAGGAATGAATGAAAGGAATGAAGGAAAGGAATGAAGGAAAGGAATGCAGGAAAGGAATGAAGGAAAGGAATGCAGGAAAGGAATGAAGGAAAGGAATGCATGAAAGGAATGAAGGAAAGGAATGAAGGAAAGGAATGAAGGAAAGGAATGAAGGAAAGGAATGAAGGAAAGGAATGCAGGAAAGGAATGAAGGAAAGGAATGAAGGAAAGGAATGAAGGAAAGGAATGCAGGAAAGGAATGAAGGAAAGGAATGCATGAAAGGAATGAAGTAAAGGAATGAAGGAAAGGAATGCAGGAAAGGAATGCAGGAAAGGAATGAAGGAAAGGAATGCAGGAAAGGAATGAAGGAAAGGAATGAAGGAAAGGAATGAAGGAAAGGAATGCAGGAAAGGAATGCAGGAAAGGAATGAAGGAAAGGAATGCAGGAAAGGAATGAAGGAAAGGAATGAAGGAAAGGAATGAAGGAAAGGAATGAAGGAAAGGAATGAAGGAAAGGAATGAAGGAAAGGAATGCAGGAAAGGAATGCAGGAAAGGAATGAAGGAAAGGAATGCAGGAAAGGAATGCAGGAAAGGAATGAAGGAAAGGAATGAAGGAAAGGAATGAAGGAAAGGAATGAAGTAAAGGAATGAAGGAAAGGAATGAAGGAAAGGAATGCAGGAAAGGAATGAAGGAAAGGAATGAAGGAAAGGAATGAAGGAAAGGAATGAAGGAAAGGAATGAAGGAAAGGAATGAAGTAAAGGAATGAAGGAAAGGAATGAAGGAAAGGAATGCAGGAAAGGAATGCAGGAAAGGAATGAAGGAAAGGAATGAAGGAAAGGAATGAAGTAAAGGAATGAAGGAAAGGAATGAAGGAAAGGAATGCAGGAAAGGAAAAGAAGGAAAGGAATGAAGGAAAGGAATGAAGGAAAGGAATTGAAGGAAAGGATGAAGTAAAGGAATGAAGGAAAGGAATGAAGGAAAGGAAGGCAGGAAAGGAATGCAGGAAAGGAATGAAGGAAAGGAATGAAGGAAAGGAATGCAGGAAAGGAATGAAGGAAAGGAATGAAGGAAAGGAATGCAGGAAAGGAATGCAGGAAAGGAATGAAGGAAAGGAATGAAGTAAAGGAATGAAGTAAAGGAATGAAGGAAAGGAATGAAGGAAAGGAATGAAGGAAAGGAATGAAGGAAAGGAATGAAGGAAAGGAATGAAGGAAAGGAATGAAGGAAAGTAGGAAAGAAGGAATGATGACACACAACCATTTACCTAGGATAACTACATAACACAAC